AATAGGACAAGGAATAGGACAAGGATAGAAGGCAATAATATCCCTGGAATGTAACACATTTCAGTGCTGGTGGAGGTTCTCCCCAAACCCCCAAGGTTCTGTTGTGTCCCGTGTGGTATCAAAGGCTCTTGAGATTTTTAATGCAGAATTCACATTTTTAGGCATTTTTTTTTTAAAATATCCTCCTGTGCCCAGAGGAAAATCCTGATTCCCTGATTCCCAGCCTGAGAACAAGTCCTCAGGCTCCGGAGGATGGCTCAGGAGTGGGGGATCAGAGCAGCTCGGAGCAGACTGCAGGTGGAAAGCACTGAAAACCAATCCCTCCTTTTTCCATCCCACAACTCCAAGAAATTTTAGGGCAGTTTGAAACCTTCAGGCCTGGCTTTCCACCTGGAGCTGCGGAGCTGGCCCTGGATCCCAGTGTTTGCCTCTGGATTATCCCTCGTGGCACCGATGGATCACTGGGAAGTGTCACCTGGAGCTCCTGAAGCTTCTCAATTCCCTTTATTTGTGCAGTTAATTCCTTTCTGTGCATTGTCAGGATGGAAACGAGCCAATTTTTGTTGGCCTTCAGTGATTTTTTTAAAGTGTATTTTCTCAAGGTGTGAATACAACGCTCGAGGTGGAAACAACAGCTCCCAGCTGGTGGAAATCCTGGTTGTCCCCCTGGAATACCAGGGCTGGGCTCATTTACACTTCCTGGGAGATTTGGGGTGGCTTTTAGTGATTTTATTTGGATTAATCAGCCCGAGGGCTGTCTCTGAACTTGCTTTTATGTAGGAACTTCTTTTAATAGAATTGAGATGCAAAGCCAAGATTCCCCTGGCAGGGGCTGTTGGAGGGAGCAGGATCTGCTCACCAGGGAGTTCAAAATTGCTTTTTTGGCTGTTTTAGCTCAGGGAAAGGCTGAATCCCACCCCATCCCCCCCCACTCAAGCCCTGGATGGGCTTGTGCTGCAGCAGGGACAGGGACACCAGGCACAAAACCTCATGTTTTGGGATGTTGGGATCTGCATTCCGCCTTTCCTGAGATCTTCTGCATCAGAAGGGAATTTGTTTCCCAAGGGATTGTAGAAATGCATTGACTGGGAGTTTTTAAACATCATTTTAGGCAGGTTCAGACCTTGGAGTTGTTTCAGGCACCCGGAGAAAGGTTTTCACTCAGTCCCTGAACCCTCTCCTCTCCCCCTGCCCAGATGCTCCAGGGGTTTGATCCAAGTGTGTCTGATCCAGCAGCCAGGGCTGGATCCTGTCCCTGGGCTGAGCCAGGCACAGACATTCCTGATCCATTCCCTGATCCCAGCACAGACATTCCTTATCCATTCCCTGATCCATTCCCTGATCCCAGCACATACATTCCTGATCCATTCCCTGATCCCAGCACAGCCATTCCTGATCCATTCCCTGATCCCAGCACAGCCATTCCTGATCCATTCCCTGATCCCAGCACAGCCATTCCAGATCCACTCTCTGATCCTAGCAGAGACATTCCTGATCCATTCCCTTATCCAAGCACAGACATTCCTTATCCATTCCCTGATCCATTCCCTGACCCCAGCACATACATTCCTGATCCATTCCCTGATCCCAGCACAGACATTCCTTATCCATTCCCTGATCCATTCCCTGATCCCAGCACAGACATTCCTGATCCATTCCTGACCCCAGCAGAGACTCCTGATCCATTCCCTGATCCCAGCACAGCCATTCCTGATCCAATCTCTGATCCCAGCACATACATTCCTGATCCATTCCCTGATCCCAGCCCAGACATTCCCGATCCATTCCTGACCCCAGCAGAGACTCCTGATCCATTCCCTGCCCCATTCCCTGACCCATTCCTTGATCTATTCCCTGACCCATTCCCGATCCATTCCCTGCCCCATTCCCAGCCCGCCGGCTCCTCCAGGAGCTCGCAGCCCTTACCTGTGTCCTCTTCCCGGGCTGTCCCCGTGCCGTGGGATGCTCCCGTGGGATGGGGGCTCCCGGGGTGGTTCCCGGGGTCGGAGCCGCCCTCCCTCCCCTCGGCCGGGGCCGCTCCGCTCTCCCCATTCCCGGCGCTGCCAACCCCTCTGCTCCTGCCCCTGTCCAGCCGCGCTCCGCGCTCCGCCCCATCCCAGAGGATGTCTTGGATGAGGAAGGATGTCCTGGGCCTGGAGGAGGCCGGGATGGGTTGCTGGGGGGCCGGGGAGTTCCGGCTCATCGCTGCCGGGGCTCTGCTGGGGGAGCTGTGCCTCCCTCCCGGGAGCACCCCGGCGCTCATCCTCCTCCTCCTCCTCCTCCTCCTCCTCCTTCTCCTCCTCCTTCTCCTCCCGCTGGCCCTGCCCGGAGCTTCGCTGCCTTCCCACCCTCCCGGCCCTGGATTTATCCCGGAGGCAGCCAAGCCTCCCGGGGCTGATTGGAGAGCCCCGGCGGAGTCTACGCCCTTCCCTCGTGTCTTGGCTCCCGACACATTTTTGGCTCTTGGCTTCTCCCTCTGGCTCTGGACGCGGATCCTTCCCCAGCGATCCAGAGCCTCCCCTGCTGCAAAATCACCCCCTGGCTTTTAGGACCAGGAGAAGGATGGGAATTTTGGGATCAAAACGCTTCCAGACTGAGGTTTTTTGGGAGAAGAGAGAGACAGAGCTCTGCTCCCTCCTCCTTACAGGAATGATTTCTATCCCTGAGTTCTTTGGGAAAACGCCTCTTTCAGGGGGGAAAACTGAAGACCTGAAAGAGTTGGGTGGGTTTTAATTTATTTGGAGGGGTTTTTCTTCCCTCTGATCCACTTTCAGTATATTGGGGAACAGGGGGAAAACATCAAAGAGCTTTTCACCCGCTTTGCTGAGCTGAAGATGGAACACAGAGAGGGAGCAGCTCCAGAGGCAAATCCTCACATGGAAAAGGGCTGAGGGTTCACAGGAAGGTTTAAACCTAAAGCTCAGCCTAATTCCTTGCCCAGCTGTGGGATGGGACAGGGTTGATTTAAGAAGCTTCAGGACCTTTACACACCACCCTGCAAGGCCTGGGGCACCCAAAAGGAGTAAAGCCTTCCCAAATCCGAGAAAACCCACGAGTGTTAAAACAGGTTATTTTCCTCAGGATCTATTCTATTTGTAGCTGTTCTTCCAGAGTTTCTCTTGCAAATATATCAATATATCTCAATATATCATGACCTCCCATAGCTCTGGTGACTCCAGAGTCCTTTTGCTGGTGCAATGAGCACTGGTCAACCCTTTTATTCCCAAAACTTGCCCAAACCCAGCTTTTCCCCTCAGCTGAAAAGCCTGGGCATGGGGGTTTTTTTAACCTTAAAAAGGGGAACAATAGATTTCCTTGCAATCCCCTGAGGACTTTGTTGATTTTACAGGAGGGTGTTTGGTTACAGCAGCCCAAAGCCTGGAGCAGGTTGTGCAAACTCAGTCCCAAACTCTGCTTTATCCTGCCCTTTTCCCCCCCTCCTTCTTCAACCTTCTGGCCTGGAAAATATCCCCCTGTATCCACTGTATGCTCGGAAAACCTCAGCAGCTTCAATAATTCAGTCAGAAAATGGGAATTTGGGAAGATTTAGGGAGGAATTGCAGCCCAAGGGTTTTATTGTGACTCTCCAACCCCCAAATTTTGGTTCTGGAGAGCGAATTAGGAGTTGGGGAAGGTGCTGCTGGAGGGTGGGGGGGTTCCAAAGGGTCCCTGCTGGATTTGGGGGACAGTTTTCCCACTGCAGAGCCCCTTCCCTTGCACCCCCAGGGACTCAGCCAATTGTCCATCCACGACCATTCCAGGCTCCAGACCCAGCAGAAGGGCTTCTCTTCCCACAGGGAATTCCTTTCCTTCCAGAGGGATCCTTTCATTCCAGTTTATCATTTCCCAAACCACAACGGAGGGGAATAAATGGTGCCTTCCCAGAATGCCCAGAGTTGTTTAGTTGGATCCCAAAGAATCCTGGAGTCCAGCTGCACAGGACAGCCCCAACCACCCCACCAATGCTGTCCAAACACTCCCCCTGCACTCATAATTCCCATTTCCAACCCTTTTTATCCTGAGCTGGCAAGGGAAGCGATTTCCTTCCTCGATTTCTGTGTTGATTTGGGGGAGTTTCCTGTGATTTGCCTCGTTCTGCTGCTGAAGCTCCAAGGAAAACCTCTCAGACCGGCAGGAGAAGCCCCCTGCACTGGGATGCTCCCGTTTGCCAGGGATTTTCCCAGTGCCAGCAGCAATTCCCGTGGAATCTTCCCCTGGGACAGAGCCCCGAGCCCCAGCTGATTCCAGGAGATATCCCTGAGTGAGTGTGGATGGATGAAGGGGAGGAGAAGGGGCAGGATCCAGGCGTTTCCAGGGGCTCCGTGTGCTCCAAAGCCTCGGAGCAGCAGGAAGAGGAGTTATCTCCCCGAGAGGGATTTTCTGGTTTGATCTGGGTGTCAGGGATTTCCCGTTTGGGAAGTGATGGGGCTGAGTGGGATTGCAGATAAAAGCTTAATTGCCTCCTGCAAGTCTTTTTGGGAGGATAAGAAGCCCTTGGGAATGAGGTGGGAAGAGGGGGGAAAAGCCTGGAACAGGGATAGGGGTGGAAAAAGGGAGATTTCCCCTGTCCTGTGTCACTGGGACATCCAACTCTCCTGCATTTAATAAATACATTTATTAATAAATATATTTATTAATATGTATTAATATTACTATATGTTCAGCAACATTTAATAAATGAATTTAATAAATGTCTATCCCTATTTATTAATAAATTTATGTCTATCCCTATTTATTAATAAATTTAATAAATAAATAAATTTAATAAATAGGGATAGACATATAAATATACATAATAATAATATATATAATATTATATAGAATTTTGTATAATATTATATAGAATTCTATATAATATTATATATAATATAATAATATATAATAAATATTATATAAATCTAATCAATATATAAATATAATCAAGGCATTTGATGCTGGATCCTGATTTAGGAATCCTGGACCTCTTGGTTGCTCAGGGATGGTGTTGGGATCATTCAGGTGACACCAACCCCCAGTGGGATCCTGGGAACTGCCCCATAATGTACCTACAAACCCATTTTAGCAGTAAAGAAAAACCAGGAGAGCTGAAAACACTTGTCAGGAGTTAAGGAGAGGAATAAACCTTGGAGAGGGATAAACCTTGGAGAGGGAGTTAAACCTTCAGAGCTCCCTGGCTTGGACCACAAGGTGATTATCTTTCTACAATAATTATTAGCATTTAATTAGAGTTTAATTTTTTTAATGTGAGCCAGGTTTTTGATGCTCAGGTGCCAAAACCACGGATGGAAAAATTCCAAATACAAAGTGAGGGGAAGGCGAGAGTGAAAACACCATTTTACCAATTGGGGGTTTATTTGCAAACAATTAATAATAATAACAATAATAATAATAATAATAATAATAATAATAATAATAATAATAATAATAATAATAAAGACAGAAATGGACACCTGTGCTGGGAGATATTAAGACATATAAACCAGAAACATATTTCAAAATATTAGAGGCAGTCAAAGCGTTCAGTGCTGTCCATAAAAAACCACAGTGGTGTTTGTGTTTTCCAGTTGTCCTTAGGAAGAAATCCGGTGTTCACACCTTCCTGGTGGAGCAAATCCCGGAGGAGCAAATCCTCTGGGAGCTGGGAGGGGCCAGACTCCAAATCCTCGTGTTTAATAATAAATAAACAAACAGATAATGCCCTCAGTCCTTGGCTCCCCAAAGTCTCAGTGCTGGGGTGGCAGCGCCCCTTTTCCAGGGAGTTTTTCCCCAGCTTTTTCCAGGGAGCTTTTCCCGAGTTTTTTCCAGGGAGCTTTTCCTGAACTTTTTCCAGGGAGCTTTTCCCCAGCTTTTTCCAGGGAACTTTTCCCGAACTTTTTCCAGGGAGCTTTTCCCCAACTTTTTCCAGGGAGCTTTTCCCTAACTTTTTCCAGAGAGATTTTCCCGAACTTTTTCCAGAGAGATTTTCCCGAGCTTTTCCAGGGAGCTTTTCCACAGCTTTTTCCAGGGAGCTTTTCCCGAGCTTTTTCCAGGGAGCTTTTCCCCAACTTTTTCCAGGGAGCTTTTTCCAGGGAGCTTTTCCCCAGCTTTTCCAGGGAGCTTTTCCCGAACTTTTTCCAGGGAGCTTTTCCCCAGCTTTTTCCAGGGAGCTTTTCCCAAACTTTTTCCAGGGAGCTTTCCCCCAGCATTTTCCAGGGAGCTTTTCCCAAACTTTTTCCAGGGAGCTTTTCCCCAGCTTTTTCCAGGGAGATTTTCCCGAACTTTTTCCAGAGAGATTTTCCCGAGCTTTTCCAGGGAGCTTTTCCCCAGCTTTTTCCAGGGAGCTTTTCCCCAGCTTTTTCCAGGGAGCTTTTCCCGAACTTTTTCCAGGGAGCTTTCCCCCAGTTTTTTCCAGGGAGCTTTTCCCCAGCTTTTTCCAGGGAGTTTTTTCCAGGGAGCTTTTCCCAAGCTTTTCCAGGGAGCTTTTCCCCAGCTTTTTCCAGGGAGCTTTCCCCAGCTTTTTCCAGGGAGCTTTTCCCGAACTTTTCCCTCTGTTGAAAGGGTGCTGGAGTCTTCCCGCTGCCCAGGCTGGTGGGAATCCTTTGGATTTGGCTCCTGGCTCATCCTCACCTCCACCTGCCAGCCCTGAGTCCCCCCCTGAGTGCCGGGGGTGGGAGCTGGGCAGCGCTGGCCATTCCCACGCTCCCGGGGGTGGCACCGGGGGGCACCCCGGGATAACCCCCCCCAAATCCAGCCCCGTAGGAGCCGTAGCAGGAGCGGCAGGAATAAGGGCCGGCAGCCAGGCTGGCAAAGGCCGGGTAAGGCCGGGCACCCCCCAGGCAGGGTTTGCCATCCCTGACCAGCACTGGCACCGCCACCCTGCGCGGGGCGGGCAGGGGGTGGGCGGCCAATTCCAGGGATTTGTCCTGGCGCTGCCTCTTGCTCTTGTAGCGCCGGTTCTGGAACCAGATCTTCACCTGCGTGGGGCTGAGCTGGAGCAGCCGCGCCAGCTCCTCCCGCTCCGGAGCCGACAGGTATTTCTGCCGCTGGAATCGCTGCTCCAGCTGGAAAACCTGAGCCTGGGAGAACAGAACCCGCGGCTTCCTCCTCTGCCGCTGCCTGGGGGGGCTTTTCTTCTCCTCCTCCCCCTCCAAGGGGAGGGAGAGCGAACATTTCCCTGCAGAGAAGCAAAAAAAACTCAGCGGAGTGAGCCCCAAATCCATCCCCGTTCCCATTCCGCCGGGAACAGCATCCCTCGGGAATAAGGCTGATGCAGAGGATAAATTAACAAATCAATAAACTGGAGTTTGATGGTGGCTAAATTTAAGGCT